TATATATATATATATACAGCCCTCAATCCTTCAAAATTAGCGGTTCTACAGACCCGTGAAGCCGCCTCAAGCCCTAAAGCTGCAGACTTACATCACAGCTACCTTGCACGACATTGCAGCACGTAGGCTGCAGGGTTAAGGGTCTATTGTAGTTTGGGGTTTACGGATTAAGGTTTATTACGTCAGATCTGGGGTCTAGGAACTCAGAAGGAACAGCCCTTATCCCCTGCCAAAAGACCCCACCTGAACGCTAAAAGGTCGACAGCACTACAAAATCAAGAAACCTTCAAGCCATATAATTTTGCCTTTTTCAGGACTTATACTAAGAGATCATACTAAGGAACCCTGAAAAAGGGAGGTTCTATGAAGCCCTAAACGCTTTTCTGCCTAAAAGGTCAAAACCTCGAAGCCCGCAGGAGGCGACGAGCCTGGGCGCAACTCTCCGGGGGGGCGTCCGCGTGGCCTCGACACAGCGGCTCAGTTCGGGTGCCACCGAAGCCGCGGTTTTTTTAGGGTTTAGCGGTTTAGGGGTTTAAGAAGACAGATTTACCCTGTGGCTCCCGTTACTTACCGCTTGTCCCATTAAGCGCACACGATCAAAACATAGCATGTGCCAGGGCTTGGAATCTGCAGGCCGGGCTTAGAGTCTTAGAGTTTAGGGTCTCCAGGGTCCTTTGAAGGGGTTTTAAGACATTATGCAGGGCTTAGAGTCTTATAGTTTATAAGGGTCTCTTAGGGTCCTTTTGTAGGGTTTTTTAGGTCTGTCTCGGGCTTTCTGCAGGGCTTCAGAGTCCTTTGGGTTGAGCGGGTTTAGAGTTGTGTTTCGGGTTACGGGTTGAAACCCGAACCATTCAGGAACGTCTAGAGTCGAGGGTTGAGGGATTAGGGTTTGGGGTTTCAGGGTTAGGGTTTTGTGTGTAGAGAGTAATTCAAGTGATTCCGGTTTCTGGTCTTTATGTGGTGGCTACCGGAAAGGTTAGTGGCAAAGGAGACGGAGGTCTTTAAGGCCCTGGCGGTGCCGAGGTCAGGGCAACTTCCGAAGCCTAACCTAACCCATGCCGGCCAAGGGCCCAAACCTTATGATTGGATTTAGGGTTTAGGACAGTTTAGAAGTCAGGATAGTTTATGTTTTATTAGGGTTTAGGATGGTTTAGGGTTGAGGATAGTTTGGGGTTTAGGGTTTTGGATAGTTTAGGGTTTAGGATGGTTTAGGGTTCGGGGTAGTTTAGGGTTTAGGATGGTTTAGGGTTTAGGATGGTTTAGGGTCTAGGATGGTTTTAGGTTTAGGATAGTTTAGGCTTTAGGGGTTAGGATGGTTTACTGTGCGCCTCAGCCCCAATTAAGCCCTACGACCCTTTGCATCCTTCGAAGGTGCTTGGCTTCTCCGTGGTGTGGAGGGTCCTGCTGCTCTCCATGACACTGCTGAGGTGCTATTGGGGATTTTAGGTGCAAGGAGTTGCACGCTCAAGTAAGATACCATACCGTTTCCTTTTCCTGTAAACCGAGCTTCTTTCTGCTACCCTAAACCCCTAGACCCTAAACCCCAAACCCCAAAACCCTAAACCCTAAACTCTAAACCTACGACACACTGGAATCGTTAACGCCGAGCTGCAGAGACGTTCCTGTACTAGTACAGTCACTGGTCACCAGCTTCCGCCGGTAGTTATGAGAGATATCGTGTTTCACATACCCAAACCCCCCAGGTACCTACTATATGGGGGGTTTCACAAAAACGAACTTGTCTAGTAATTGTGAGGTTCTTGTAGGACGTCCAGCTCGGGGATATGTCCAGTCGCGAACCGGGCTGGTTGATAGTCTGAGTGTAAGTGCCGAGACCCTAATTACAGTGATTCCTCTTACGAAACCGTATCTTGTTTTTGATTTAAGGCTTGAGGGCCTCGGGTTTCTAGCTTTAGGGTCCAAGGTTTCGGTTAAATAGATATTCTCATGACTCTGTTCTATGTTAGGCACAGAGTGTGCATTTGTGTGTGTGTGTGTGTCTTTGGACTCGCCCTCTCCTTTCAGAAGTTGCCCCCGTATCCAGGAAGAGGCTGCGAAGCAAGCGCCGGATGCGTTGGGAGAGTTCGATGTCGTCATTGCCGAGAGCCTAGAGTCAGGTTTCCTTGGGTTAGGGTAACTGTGCCTATACATCCGGACCCAAACCTGAGCCATGTTATCAATAGTTCATAGCCCTTGCTACCAAAACTACGCCTTCATAAGATACATACTGAAAAAGAGCCAACAGCTACCACCCCAAGCCCTATAGTTTCTGTAGCCTGACTGGGGTTTCAAGCTCCCGGGTTGTAAAGGCATCAAATACCCCTTTCTAGAGGCCTTCATGATTGCTAGAGTACTCAGCCACTAAGGTAAGGGCTCGTTAGGGGATGGTTGGTAGTTTAAAGGTTTGAAACCCTAAACCCCAAACCCTAAACTCTAAACCCCAAACCCTAAACCCTAAACCCTAACGGGGGTCGGGATTCTCCATCGCAGGCTTGCCTCCGGAATCTTTAGGCGCCTGAAGCACGAATGCCAATATCTCCAACATGGAAGCGCACCCTGAAGCGAGAGATACCGATGCAGACTCTAGTACTAGTAACCAAGCCCTATACTTTCCACTTTACAGGCACATATACTTTCTACTATATAAGTACTTAAAGTCCCCTTGGCCGGATTCCCTAGCAGTTGCTTACCATAATCGGGATCTATAGAAAAAAAGTTTCCTTATGGTAACTTAAATCCAGATCCAGCTCCTTATCATCCACGGGTAAGTACGACGGTTTCCTTAAGGTAGCTTGAGTTTAGTTCCTTAGCGGGCCTATAATAAGTGTTATATGGTTTCCTCATCCCAGAGGCTCCATATGTGGTACCATTATGGAATTGGGCCACTAATTCCTTGATAAGGATGGTCTTCTGACCCCTAATTCCATAATGGTACTATATATGGAGCCTCTGGGCATGGTAGCTTAAAGTTAAGTTCCTCAACAACAGCCCCCTCGGGGCATCCCTAGGTCACCGACGTTAGCGCGTCCATGGCCTCCTGGCACCGCGCATCGGCGGGGCTTCCCGCACTTCGATGCCGAACATCGGTTTAGGGGTCCTAGTTTAGGGTGTAGGGTTTAGGGTTTTGGGGTTTAGGGTTTAGGGTTTAGGGGTTGAGGGTTTAGGGGTCCTAGTTCAGGGTGTATAGAGGGTTTAATCCTAGACCCTACACCATCAACCCTTAGGGGGGTCTAAGCCCGAATCCCTATAAACTCTAAACATGCGGTGGGTTTTTGTTAAGGCGATATACGAGTTTGTAAACGGTTGCTTAAGGATTTAGGGTTTATGGATGTTTAGGTGTAGGGCATGTTAAGTTTGCGGCATTACATAGACCCTGGAACGATAGCGCCTTGTGTTGGATAACTTGTTTGTCGGCTGGGATCCACTCCAATGACGTCAGAATGCGGTAACCGATGAAAGGTGCTACAATCCGTGCTCTCGGTTTCACAGAAAACACTGTTTACTGTACATGGGGCTTAAAAAGAAACTTGATGCTTGTGTGGTCTGATATAAGGTTTGGGGACTTGGGGCTCCGCAAAAACTTGATGTCTGTGGGATTTTAAGTTTTGAGGCTTCCAGGGAACGTATGCTTTTATTACTTTACAAGGGTTTAGGGTTCAGGATTAAGGGGTTATAGGTTTTATGCAAGCAGTCATCGGACAATCCAGAAGCGAATCACTTGTTGATGGACTACATAACAAGCTAGATGACGGCTCAGAGTCACTAAAGAGATCTGTACCGTCTCCAGACCACATCAAAATCCCGGAACATACATGGACCAGGGATCCGTGGTGCACGCCTTACCAGGGGATACCGGGTGGTGTTTGCCCTGAAGACCCAAGGCTCTTTCATAGCCCGAAGCCCGCGACCTCATATTTGGGCAACCATAATTATGGGCTTAGGGTTTTAGGGTTTCAGGGTTTATAGGGTTTACCTTAAGAACCCAAAACCTACGTTTTTGTAGGGTCCCTATAAATCCAATATCAAGGTTTATAATAAGAACCTACAAAAAAGTGGGTTTTGGGGCTTTAGGGTTTAGGGTCATGATACCGGGTCTCACCTGTGAACAAACACACCCAAAGAACCTTGCCTTGCAGTGTATGTCCGGGAGTGAGCGCCGATGCTCGAAACCGTGAAGCAGCGTTCTGAAAAGCAGCCTGATGCCCTGAACCCTTTTACCGCCTCCCGATAAGGTTTTAGTCTTGCTTACAAGTAACACGACGATTAGGACTAAAAACGACCACACCTGCATTACACCTCAAAGTCAACCATATAAACCCTAAGCCCTATACCGAAGGAAGGCGTCGTGAAGCCCGGTACGAATCTCCTTTAGTACCTTCTGAATCTTTACAACATCTTACAATCTATAGTCTCCATTGCAGTTCTTGGTTTGGGTTGCCTTCGAGGATCCTAAGCACACAGAAATGCCCTTTAAGCCCCAGAAACGAACTAGAATGGAGACTTCGGGCCCTAAAGCCTAAACCCTAAATCAGAAAAGCCCTAAACCCCTAAACCCTAAACCCCTAAACCCTAAACCCCTGAACCCTAAACCCTTAAACCCCTAAACCCTAAACCCCTAAACCCTAAACCCCTATATAAACCCTAAGCCGACTTTGGGATGACTCTAAGGAGAGCCTCGCCGGCAAAGTTCGGAGCCGCACGCGCGTAGCGCTCTTCACCGCCCTGGTTGCATTCGAGGAACCGGGGCATTGGGTTTACCGGGTTTAAGGTTTGGGGTTTTGGTGTTTTAGGGTTTTAGGGTTTAGGGGTGGGGTTTAGGGTTTAGGTTTTGGGTTTTCTGGTTAAGGATTGAGGGTTGAGGTTTTGGGTCTACCTGGACCAAAAGTCCGTAGAATAATGGCCTTTTATAGGTGTTGGGCATTATTTTACCTACTTTTGGGGGTCTAGTTAAGAGCCCCGTAGGTAAACTTTAAACTTCTTTGGTATATTAACCCCCTACTAAAAGAAAAAATATACACTTTTTTGGGCCAGGGTTCTGGGAAGCTAAGTCTAGGTAGGGGTTATAGGATTAGGGCCAAGGAGGGTCTTTGCAATTTCAGGTTGGGGCATGCACAGGGTATAGGCCCTCAAGGGTGTAGGCCTTTAGGGTCGAGGATTTTGCGTTTTAGTGCTTTAAGGCCTTAGGTCGATTCGGGGTTTACGGTCCTAAACCCTAAACCCTAAACCCTAAACGGTCGTGTGCCAGGATTTCGGAAATTGGGTTCGAGCATTGAGGGGTAAACGGCTTTCGCATTTGTTGTGGGGTTTCCGTTGCGGGGATTCCAGTTGGGTCTAATAAGTTCCCCTAAACCTTAAACCCTAAACTGGGTTTTATTCAGTTTAAGTTACCAAAATGGTTTCTTTAGTCGATAGCAGGTTTGATGGTTTTGGTAACTCAAACCGATTTCCTAAACCAGAACCCAGTTCAAAGCCCTTGCCTTTCCGATACGGAATCCCGTGAATCTGCACATGAGTAGTTCGCTAAATTAGGGTCCCTTTTGGTGTCCTTTTATAAGGGTGCCGTACGAAATTGGGGACCTGAAAACGGACCCTAATTTAGAGAACTATCCACATGCACAACTGCCCGAGCCGCAGAAGCAGTACTGGTATAGGGGCCTTAATAAGTACCTATTATTTTAAGGGGTTCCTTATTACACTTGGAGTTTAATATACCCCCGAAGCCCTACTCTACTCATTAAGGCCTAATATTACGGTTCCGGAACACCCAAGACTGCTTCAATCTTCTGAACCCAAAGCCCCCAAGAACCCATCTCAGAGCACGTTGCATACAGTTGTTGTGCTGCCAGCGAAGACCCTGCATCGTAGCTTCGTCTTAGCCAGGCGGGATGCGAAAATCGGGAGTTGTTTGGTCATGTTCTTTGGCTTTCCATAGGCCCCTCAGTCGTAATCTTAACCTTGAAGTCCTTTCCATGGTAGCAGAGTACATTTATTCTTCGGATCTTATAGGAAGAAATGCAAGGTGATCCAAGCAAGGTATCAGGCATTACATCATTCAACAGAAACCCTGGCAGAACTCCTACAGACCTGATTCGCATGCCGTATTGAGAATGAAAGAACAAACAAGCCTAAACCC